TGTAAAATGAAAATCAGTTTGGAGGGTGACTTTTTTTCAAGGGATAAAATTTTTCAATGATATATTCTTGAAAGAAATGATAAATGTCCACTCATAACAATAGGGGCAATAAAAAATTCCAAATATTTTTTTCTAGTCATATATCTAATATATATATATATATATATATATATATATATATATATATATATATATATATATATATATATATATATATATATATATATATATATATATATATATATATATATATATATATATATATTAGGGTAGGTTGATTTTTCACTTTTTTTTTAAATTTGTTACAGCTAAGGTACTGAAAGGTGTATTTATATATATATAAAACAAAAAAATAAAAAGTTGAAGGTGTTTAGTTAAACCGTGGCCTGCAGATCAGCGATCAAAATTTAAAAGTACCCTCATCAACATTTGCTAAAAAAATATTAATTTTTTGCTTGTGGTTTCATATTTTTAAAAACATTCAGACAAAATTTTAGTCAAAAAAATTTGACAACCAAGGAATAACTCAAATATTTGTATTTAAAATCATTGATACGGTTTATCGTTTTGTTTTAATAAGCAAAAATATCACAAGTCTAATTTATATTTAAGTATAAATTTTTTATTTGTTGTGTTACATCGATTTTCTAATTAAACGCTCAATAAAAATATTTATTTACCCTTTATTGTCTAAAAGAATGGCACGAATGGTGTGCAGGCTGTCATATTCTTCAAATACACTAAATGTCTTAAGAAAATGAACATCCCCACTAGCACCAACAACGAGTACTGTTCTATGTGTCAAATAGATCCTGTGAGATTTGCCATACTCTTGTATAAGTAAGGTGATGCTCTGATTCAAAACATTTTGTTATGAAATTTTTTCTTTCAGAATTTTTTGCTTTAAAGTACATTTTCGTCTTCTTATCTATCTTTCCATCTAAACCAATGAAAAATAGTTGTTTCTTCTCTTCTGAATCTGCATTTTTTGAAATTATTTTTACTATTGACTTAGCTCTGTCTAATTTACACTTATCCATTAGAATGTTATTGATATCAACTTCCGGTAGCAATAGATGCTTGATATCATGGAATAAGGCGTTTCCAAGAGCTGGGGCGAGATTTTAAGAACATTCACTGACCAGCTCCATTGCATATATTGGAAACTTTTGAATATTACAATCTGCCTGAGTTCCTTTACTTGGTTTCCATTCATCCTGTTCCTTATGATAAGTGAATTTATTATTAATAAGTGTTAAATATATACTAAACAAACTAAAATTTTAAGGCCACGCAAATAAAAATACCTGAGATGTTATTATTTCAGATATACATTCTGGGAAATCTGGTAATAAACTTGTAAGCTCATTATTAATATGTTTGTGATGTGATATTTCCTTCCTTCTGTTTAATCCTGTATCTAGTAGTATTGGAAGGCAGAGAAAAGTTCTCCTAAAGCAAACTTGGCTAGCCATGCAAGCTGCTCCTCTAAACAGCTTTTTACAAGAGCTTTCAGTTTTTACGCGAGCTATCTGTTTATTAATTTGATAAATTGCTTATTAAATACAAAATTTGATACTTATTATAAGAATATTATCAATTTTTTTTCTATATTAAGATTTTTTTAAGAAACTAATTTTTTATTTAGTTAGTATTTTTTTCATTTAGTTATTTTTTTTATTTAGTTATTTAGTTAGATAAATTTTTATTTAAGTTAGTTCAATCAGTTAGTCCAATCTTATTAAAAACATTTCAATTGGTACTCTTTTTTAATTTTTTGTTGTTGTTACAATAGCTGTTCCTTTAAAAACCTTGCAGTTTATTATGCAGTTAATGGTTTATTCATAAAATGACTTTTTCATTTTGGTTATAACGATAATGATTTTTTTTTATAAAGAACTTTGTAAACCTTATTGTCATTAATGCTATAGTGATATTACTCAGTATTTCATACCAAGGATTTTAGGAAATAAAATCTCTCTCATTGCATATCTGTGTTTGTAAAGCAAAGAAAATTTTCTTTTTATTACTATTTCTACTAAAACTTTAAGTATAATTATGTAGTATTTATATTCACATTTATAATACTAAAATTCTGCTTTACAAAAAAGAAAACAATTGTTGTAGTACAAGAGTGGAGCTTTTTTTGGTGTTTGTGCTAACTTCATGGATAAAACTCTAAGCATTTAAATGTTTATACTTTTGTCAAATAAGGAACTTAATCAATCATTGCAACTTTACAAAAAGTTGCAATGATTGGAGCCTTGAAACAAAAAGCCCCAAAATTTTAGATGCCCTTTTTTCTATTACTCTTAACTAAATTAATATTTATCGATAAAATTTAAATTTCATACAATAATCTTTAAACATTCAAAAATTATAGAGTTTGACCCCCCTCCCCCCCTCCCTCAGGGAGTTAAAAGAAATATAAAACAACTTTTATTTTACTATCGACAAGTTGTAAGCCATTTGTATAGCTATAATATGATCTCTAGTACTACAAAAAAATAACTGTTACTCAAAATAGTTATACAATCGTATTTTGTAAGCAAAAAGTAAATTTGAAACTTAAAATTTGTCATTTTTATTATATGTAGTTTACTCAAGTATTTTTTAATTTTTCTTATTAGATCGTTACCATTTTTTAAATTTTTTTTACAAGAAGGATATAAATATAAGAGCACGATAAATAGAAGCAACCTAAGCAGATGCTAAATCTGCAGTGGATTGTATATATGGTTTCCATGAAATGTCAGTGATGAACAATAATCCAAAAAGTCATTGAGGAGGTTGCCATTCATTAGTATAGGAATGTCGACAGTATTCCACAGAACTGGGTGGTACCACTACATGCAGACTCTCCATTAGGTATCTGAGTTGCAAAAGGCCTTTTACTAAGAAATTTAGTAGCAGATTAAGATTGCTAACATTAAAATAATCTTAGATCTGCTTAGATGTGATTTTAAAACTTTGAAAAAGCAGTATTATTGCTTTATATAAGATGTCTGCAACTAACTCCATGTATTAATTATATTAAATATACATATGCATTAAGACTTTTCTATTATTTCATTAAAGTAATTTTTATTTAAAGTTGAACAACAATTTTTATTTAAATACAATTGCATCAAAACTTCTATTTTCTTATTGTGACAAATTATAAACAATGCTATGTATATATTGTTTATAATTTGTCACTATTTTACATTATTTACTTTATTTTACATAAAGTTTATCTGTTAATCGTTATCTTGCTTTATAAACTTTATCTTTTCTCTTCCAGAAACTTCCAACTCTAATAGTGGTTGCTTGCAGCCATGTTGGAAGTGAAGATGTTATACAAAAAAAAGAAGAAATTTCAAATATAAAGAACATTGATTATATTTGATATATTAACGAGAATGGCATTATTTGATAAAATAATGCCATTCTCGTTTGAAAAACTTTCAGTTTTTCAAAATATTTTCGTTTATAGGTAATATATATTTATATATTTGCATACATTTATATATTATATTTATAGATAATATATATTAATATATATAACGGTAAGGTTCTTTTATTTGGAGTTTTTATTCTCAGAAACAATTTTAGAGGGTCAAGTGTCAAGATGTTAAAAGAAGTCTAAACTGGAAAGCTCTTTGCAGACATTATAGAAATTTTTTCTTTTACTTTAAAATGAATTAAATGATTAAAATCAAATTATTTTTTTAGGTAGAGGACTAGTTGTGGACTAGCGTTACTAATTATAAAATTTGTTAAAGTAGCGGTAGTAGTATAAAGTTGAGTCATCAGCAAATAGTACCACTTTAGCTGTAAGGTTTTCAGGAAGATCATTAATGTAGATAAGAAGCAAAACAGGACCAAAGATAGAACCTTGAGTTACCCCAGAAGTTACTGGAAATTAAGAAGAGTGTTGGCCTTCGAAGATGACTTTAATAAATCGGTTAGAAAGAAATGATTTAATAACTTTCCCAGATACACCATATGAACCTCCAATTAATTCACGATAAAATCTTGATATATTATAATTATAAATTTCCCATCTTAAATATAAGTTTAAAAATTTAATTCTCTCAATGGATGATATGGCCAGTTATTTTTAATACTATTATTCTACTATGTATACTTGTTTGGAACTTTTATTGTAAAATACGTTTAATTTTTCAACTATTTTTTATGTAGTTTACATCCACACGTTTGTAAAAAGTTCTGAAAATAAAATATGTACCATCTTCTTGTTTGTATTTGTAAAATTATTTTATTTACTATAGCAACAAATGAAACTAAAAAAAAATAGCATCATTCTTAGTGAATGATAAAACCCGCCTCTGGTTGAATCGGAATATTTTTATATTGTGTACTTGCTATGCTGCAATCTTTTTCCCGATGCTTTTATTAACTCCTCGTCTCTGTCTATTTGCCTGTGAGCATCTTCTTGCAATCAATTTTTGAGTCATTTTCTGATGATAGATTTTTTTCAAATTTTGCATACATACTCTTGCTTGATGACAATACAATATTCAATGATTAGTTTTGCAATAAGTCTATGAATTTAGTTAATTTTAAGTTTATTTTTTATGTGGAAAACAGAATAATAATTTTTAAAATAAGTAAATTAATTGTTCTCCTTCATATAAATGCTTTTAGCTTATTTGGATAAGGTGTTGACTTCGTAAACGGAATGTCTATGGTTCGAGACCCGCCACTTCCTAGATTAATTTTGTGTTTTTTTTTTACACACGGATAATGCGGAATAAAATAAAATAGTAATATCAGAAAAAATTTATTGCTTTATTACATATAAAAGTTTTGGGTTTTAAAAATTCGTTTTTGAATTTACTTGTTTATATTACAAATATAATTTAATACATATATGTAATAAAGCTGAATTAGGTAAAATTTTTACCGAAATTCTGCAGCATCATACATTTTCTGTTTATGTGAAAAGTGGCTCAAAGATTTTTATTTTTAATTTTTTTTTTGTTTATACTTTTTAGTTGGACATTGTTATAGATGGTGCCGACGAAGTTGATGTCAATTTAAATTGTATTAAAGGTGGTGGAGGATGTTTAACTCAGGAGAAAATAGTTGCTTCGTGTGCTAAAAATTTTGTTATTATAGCAGATAGTACTAAACGTTCTCAGCATTTAGGAGATAGTTGGAAAAATGGCGTAGCTGTTGAAGTAATTCCAATGGCTTATTCTTTAGTTATTATGAAATTAAAACAGCTTGGTTTTTATCCGTCTCTCAGAATGGCTAAAGCAAAAACCGGACCTTTAGTTACAGATAACGGCAACTTTATAATAGACTTTAAGTTTGACAAGTTAACCGATTGCAAAATCGTTAATGATAGCCTTATTTCTATACCAGGAATTGTGGAGACAGGGTTATTTATAGAAATGGCTAACTCAGTAATTTTTGGCTTTTCTGATGGAACCACTGAAGAAATATTTCGACAATAATATCTAGACATTTTTATCAGCGTTTTTAACATGTATTTAAAAAACTATTTTATTATTATGTTTTTGTTATGTTTATTTTAGGTGTATATATATATTTAGTAAGGTGAAATAAGAAAAAAATTTTAAAAGAGTTAGTCCAATTATTTTTCAAATTATTTTTTTTTCGAGAGTAGGGGGCGGTAATAAAAAATAATAATAGAAATATAGAAAACAAATTGAAAATAGTGGGGATAACTCTTTAAAATTGGAATTATTATTTCAAATAGTAATGGATTTTTATTCTATGTGTGTAATTCTGAAGGCGCTGTTTTGCCACTTTTATTTATATATAATTCTGAAGGCGCTGTTTTGCCGCTGTTTTTTTGTTTTGTTTTGTTTTTTTGCCGCTTTTATTTACCTTAGAGGCGAACTGACCTCAAAGTTTTTTTGTGATTTTTTTTTCTCTTAACGTTTAATGATTTGTATATATGTTTTTGCAAAGTGTTACAATTTAATAGTTACTTAATATTATTATGTAGAAGTAACTTCGTTATTTATGTTATTTGTAGGATTGTTGAGCCTTATTTAAAGATAAATGGTTTAGAAAGAAGAAATAGAAACGTAAATTTGTTGTATTGAACGACTGTAACTTTATCGTCATTTGATGACCATTTTATTATAAATTACTAAGTAGGTTTTCAAGTTTAAAAAAAAGTAAAACTTTTATTTATAATTAAGATTTGTATCATAAATCATTAATTATATGGAATTTTTTAAAATGTCATTGATTTAAATTAAGTAGGGGAGAGAGGAGTATTGGCGAACACGCTGGAATGCGAATTATACAAAATTGATCATATTTATTGCTTATATTTTTTATACTTATTGCTTGACATTTTAGTCTAACTATACAGTCACAAACTCCCAAAAACAATTTTTATATATCTTATTATAAAATAAAAATTTGGGGCAAAAATAAAACCATTGTACGGAATTACCCTACGTACGTGGGGTAATTTCAAACACACCTTGGGGTAATCACAAGCATTATTGTGCAATAACATATAAATTCTAATTGAAATAACTTAATGCAAAAATCACAGACATAACCTCAGGATATGCTCACCTTCACCAGGTCTTACAATTGTAACACTTAATTCAGTCTTTCATGGACTTTTCATCGCAACATCGGTACATGATCAACCTCCATTAGATTAAAGTTTTTCTATCTCTTTTTACTTTTACCAGTAGTATTTTTTACCTCTTCTTACTTTTTTTTTTTGCTCTAAAATATTTCTCATTGGCAAACTAGTAACAATAGCGGAATGTTTCTTTCTGAAACTCTTGTTTTCACTCTATTAAATGAAATTACGTATCTAACAATTTATTGACTAAATATTGAATATAGTTAATTAAATAGTTAATGTTAATTATAGTTAATGAATATTAATTAAATAATGAGTGTAATTAATTAAATAGTGAATAAATATTAAATAATGAGTACATTATGTGACAAGTGCATTTCTTTTTAAAATAATAAAAAGATAAACAAAGATATCATTTAATGGAAGATATCTTAGATTAATTACCAGGCTAAGAGCAAGAAATACTTTTTAGAGGTACTTTTCAAAAATGCGGACCGCTTTTGTGTGGAATTTTTGTGCTGTCCCACTTCCTTTGCGTCTTATTCTAAATTTTCCTCTTATTGTTGATTTTTACAACATGTTTTTTAAAAACTCTAAACTTTCCATGTAATATTTACCATGTATTTTTCTAAATGTATCATGCAGTTCTATCACATTTTCAATACCATGTAGTATTGCTTCTGTCGTTTTGTTTTATGCATAGTTTTAAATTAATAAAAAATGTAATTTTCTACTTTTCCAATTATATAAAATGTTTTTTTCTATTTTAAGTTCAGACTGGCTTTTTCGGTATATACTGCATCAAGGTTCTAAAAACTACAACTGGATAACAATTATATATATATATATATATATATATATATATATATATATATATATATATATATATATATATATATATATATATATATATATATATATATATATATATATATAGCTGGATTATATATATGAGCTGGATGGCGAAAAAAACGAAAAAAATTAAAGTTAGAATTATCTTGTTTCTCCACTTTTTGAAAAAATTTAGTTTATGATAGTGTTGTGTTCCTCAAAATAATGTCTTTCTACTGAATTGAAATCTAAGTTATAAGTAAAAAAGTTGCGGAAATAACATAAGTTATAAAAGAAAATTTATAGGCCGTCTCCTAAAGTTTCTGTTTTTTAAATCGTTTTATCTCAAAACTAAAAAATGTGGAGATAGAACAAGATAATTCTAACGTCGCGAACTGTCTATCTGAACCAAATAAGTTTCAGCTATGTTTTTTTATTTTTATTCATATTTATTCATCTAATTATATGGCTATGATCTAGTTATATGTAAAACTACCTATAATTACAGGACCCAAACGTGTCTAGAAAAATATAAAAATTAAAAAAATATAAAAATTAAAATTAATTTATTTTTTCCATTATAGATAAAAATACGCGGAAAAAAGTTTTACGCCAACACTCATTTTTAAATTTTTTTATAATTATGTTAAATATATAATTAAGTTTATGTTTACATAATAAATTAAATGTAAAAAATTAAAATTAAAATAAGATAGAATTGGAAAGACTTGTAACTTTAAATTTTGTACATTATAGTTTTTTGGTCTAATTAAGCTACTCCCGCTTTTCAATCCCGCAATTAGTTTAAACTCAAAAACTCAAAAAAGGTGTTTTTTAGGTTCATTATTAAGGTAGTAAAAAAGTTTTGAAAATTATATAAAAAAGAGAAAAATTTATTTCATTATTATTAAAACCTGAAGAAAAAAAAATTACAACATAAAGTTTTTGTTTAATTTTTAATCATGCTAACAGGGCCGGCGCGAGTAGGTGTCACGTGGGGGGGGGGGGGGTGCCAATACATTTTGCCGACTAAAAAAAAAAAAAAAAGGTCCTCGTTTTCCAAAATTTGCCGACTGCCATAACGACATTTGCCGACTGTCTAGATTACAGACTAACATATAACGAAAGGGTCGACATTTGTCGACTACCTAGTCTAAAAGAGTCTAATTTGCCGACTGAAAATCACTGATGGGGGGGGGGGGTGGCACACACCCACACCCCCGTATCGCGCCGGCCTTGCATGCTAATTTCAAATAAAACTAGTGTTGTTATCGACTTCGACTAAATCGACTAAAAGTCGACTAGTCGAAAGTCGAAATTAGTCGATTTTGAAAAATCTAATAGTTGGTTTAATCGACTTTGGATTTACTACTAATCGACTAAAAGTCAATTTAGTCGGGTAATACATTTATTTCTAATTTTTTTTTATTTAATTGAAAGTTATCAATCTATAACTTTTGTCGGTTAATTGCAATAGCAAGTATAACCTTTACATACTACCTATTTTATTTAGAGACGGATTAAAAAATTTCAACCCTAACTATCCCCCTATTTATGTCTCTACCTTTAATCCAGCATTTAGAATTTTGTTTCGCAGTTTTATTATGGGTTAGATAAATTGAGTAACTTACAAATCTGCGGTAACTTAAGAATAACTTAAGAGTAACGTAAGAGTAACTTAACTTAAAATATATACAAAGTAACTTCATTAACGTTTTGCAATAACTATGTATAGTAACTGAAACTAAGTTTTTTTTGCATTTTTTTCTTCATCCATCGTCCTCTTGTAAAGGATGTCATAAAATCGGGAGACCCCTATTTAAAACCCCCAAAAAAGTTCTTTTATTTCAAAATTATATTTGACACTGTTGTAACAATTTTAAAAAATAAAATAAAAAAATATTCTTTAACAATAACTACATAAGATAAAAAAGTAAATAAACCGTCAAATAACTAAGCCCGACAAGAGAGGATGGAGGACGGGGATGATTCGTAGGGTTTTTATAGAATAATATTTTTTTCATATTTCAGAATTTATTTTAATTTTTACTTTTTAAACATTTTCTTTTTGTGTTAATTTCTTTTCTTTTTTTTTAATTAAATTTATAAATAATAAATAATCGAATTATTTTTTAAAATCAATTTCTTGGTATATCGAAACTTTATTTTTCAGTACCTTTCTTCAATTGAAACCAAAAAATTTAATTTAAGGGCCTGTTTTTAATTATCCTGGGTATAAGTTAAAGTTAACGTTTAACAAGACCCCATAAAAGTGAGGTCTAATAGGAGGAGGTCGAAAAGGGTTCTTCTCCAGGGCTCGAAAACTTATATCGGTGGCCCTCAAAACAATTCCATAACATATTATGGTACTTAATAAAACTTTTCGGTCTTGTGTTTTGCTGTTTGTTTTGCCTTTGCATGTGATTTTCAAAAATACTTATATACAGAGTCGTTCCAATTTGACTAGGGCTCAGTGAAAGTTCAATTGTGAGGCTCTTTGCATCTAAGTATTATATTGTAAATGATTGTACCTTTGTATTTATCAAGAAATAAAATGGCTACTAAATCTTTAGGGCTTAGGGAAACTTTATTATACGCTGTTTTCATATTGTTTTGATTAAATAAATATTTAAATTATACGATATTAAATAATAAAAAACAAATACAAATTACTTACTTGATTACCTTTATTGAATATTTATTTTGCAATCATTTTAAATTTTGTATTCAAATATTTCGACTAAATCAACTTTAAGTCAACTTAGGGGCTGTCCATTAATTACGTCAACAAATTTTTGACAAAAATTTGTTGACTGTCCATTAATTACGTCAACAAATTTTTTTGGTTCAGACCCCCTCCCCCCTATTTTGTTGACGTAATTAATGGACAACCCCCTAGTCGATTTTGAAAATGTGTTAATCGCCTTTAATCGACTTAAGAAAAAACGTTAGTGGATTTAGTCGACAGTCGAACTTTTCAATAGTCATAACAACACTATATAAAACAATTCGAATAATTTAAAACGCATCGTACTTTGAGCGCAAACGGCAGTGACATTTTCGTATTAAGTAAATTTTATTTTCAGTTTGTTCATTATCGTCAATTATTCAAATTAAAAGTTCAATACAAATTTTTTTTTTTAATGAAGAAATTATATAAAAAAAAGTTGTTTAATTTCTATTGTTAAAAATTGAAAAAATTCACGAGACTAAGTAAAGTGACAACCGTCCTACTTTTGAGGACAGTCCACTTTATATGACTATCCTAACTAAAGTTGCAATGGTTTTCTTATAAATGGCCTCCTAAATATCTTACTAAATTTCCTAATTTTTGGTCCAAAATTTTCTTTTTATATAGCTTTATTTTTTATATTTACAAGTTAAAATCAATTCAAACATTCAAATATGCAAACAACAGGTAAAATGCCAAATTTGTTTTTAAGCAAAACTTAAATCCTTCATCAAAATGTTTTTCTGAGTTATTATCAACATTATTATTTATTATCTAATTTAATTAAATTATTTTTGTTAAAACTGTCAAAAGTTTAATATGCATTAAATCTCAGCAACATTACAATTGAAGTAAAATATATACATTAATATCTTGAGTTTTTCTAAAATATATAATGCCAGCCATTAACTCATATTGT